GCGCGGCCGGGCGGCATTGCGGCGGTACGGAGTTGCGGGTAGCATGGGTCACTGGATGGAGCCTTGTACTAGCCCCTTCCAAGCCGAAATGGTTGGCCCTGGCCGCCCGTACACCCATCAGAAGTCTGAAAGAAAATCTTCCAACTTCATGGGCTCCAGATTTCGTGGAAGAAAATCATGATTCCTCTCGCTTCGCGGGGTGCACGTCCGGAGCACGTACAGTCACGTCGTCGCGGGGCCTCTTGGGAGCCTCTTGGGGGCCTCCTGGAGGCCTCCTGGGAGTTTCTTTCGGCGCGCTGCGCCGCAGTTCGCCCAGAGGGGGGAAAATAACATTACACTCCAGTCGCTGTGTGGCCTTTGGAGGGCTTTTTGAGGGCCTTTTGGAGGCTTCTGGGAGGCTTCTTGGAGGCTTTTTCGGGGTCTCTTGGGGCCTCTTGGGGGCGTCTTCGGCCGTCTTGGGGCGCTTTTGCGCCGTTTCGCCCCCTCGGAGGCTGTCTTGGGGGCCTCTCGCGGCCGCATTGGAGCCCTCTTGGGGTCCTCTTGGGCCGACTTCGCGGCCTCTTGGACCGTCTTGGGGGCCTCTTTGGGCCGTTTTGGGGCCCTCCTGGGCCGTCTTGGGGCCCTCTTAGGTGTTTTTTGGGCTGTTCTGGGGCGATCGATTCTGGAAGCTGCCTGGGCCGTCATTGATTTTTGAGAATCGAAAAAGGGGAGAACGCGAAAAGATGGCAAAAACCATTGGAACATAATGATTTCGGCTTCCGGAGGCGCAGTTGTAGGCGCTCTTGGGGCCCTCTTGGGCCGTCCTTGGAGCTTTTGAGGCCGTCTTGAGGCCGTCTTGGGGGCCTCATGGGTCCCCGTTGGGAATATATTGGGCCGTCTTGGGCCGTCTTGGGGCCGTCTTGGGCCGTCTTGGGGCCATCTTGGGCCATCTTGAAGCCCTTGAGGAGTCCCCAGAGGCCCAAGAGGCCGAATATTTTGATTTTCATTGGTTTTTGTATGTTTTTAGGGCCCCAGAAGG